ATTGCACAAGCTAGAAGGCTAGTTATATATTATACCTATGAACAACCCGTGTATTACATGGGTCAGAAATCTTGTTTTACTTTAGAATACAAAGGGAGTATTTGTTTCTTTTTTTTCCTTACTAAAATAGCTAATAGCTAATAATTATTTAGCAAATACTTTTACATAAAAAAGTCAATTACGACTCACTAATGTAAACATCTACCAATATTTTTAAAAAACTAATTACAATTAACTAGCCAAAACAACCAATGTAAACAGATAATTACAATCAAGTAGTGAAAACAGTTAGTGTAAACAAGTAGTCAAATGAAGTAACTGTACACTTTAAAATAAGTTATACAACCATGTAATATTTTTATATTTCATGTGTATAAGAAATTATACTCCAAAGAGTAAAGTTTCATACCTTAAAATAGAATTAGCAATCATGAGATTACAAGATTGACATTTTTGCACTCCACAAACTATGATAGATCTTACACTCTTTTTATAAAGAATATGATAAATCTTATAGCAAAATCTAAAAAAAAAAAAAAAAAAAAAGTCATCACGTATAACAAACTGGTACAATATTATTTATCGGTCTCTTCCGATTTCATCGATCTAACAATTCCGATTGTAGCATAACCAATCAAATCAGTGTACCTTATTTACAAATTTTCAATCTTCAATTCGGACGGATTAATCAATATTAACACCAACAATTATAAAATTATTAATCTAATAAAGATTTTCCAAAGAGAGAAGAAAAAAAGCAAAAAGGTAAAAAGGGTTTAGATGGGTTGGTTCTCCTCTCCTGAAAAAACAACCAACCAAGGATCAGAAAATGACATTCAGCCTTTTTTCATAAGATTATGATTTTATGATATGAACAAATTCACATTTTTTTTTTCATTTTGTATTTCCCCTAATAATATTCTCTCCACATCTCACTCCTTTTTATTGTTTTTCTCTCTCCTCAATCCATCCATCCATTCATTCATCCTGATGATTACTATTAAATGATGATTTTAATGGAAGAAGAGAGTGATTAGTATGATCCCCACCCACCTTCACCTTCTTCTTCCTTCTCTTAACTCACTACTCTCACCACTTTCTATTTAACCTTTTTTTTTTTGAATTTTATTTTCTAATCTTTTGGGTTTATCTTTTTAATAACCAACCAGTTATATATTTTTTTTGGAGGGGAATTTAATTGATTAGATTTCTAGGTATAATACTCCAAAATATATAAATTAATGGGGAATGTTAATGGTAGAGAAGAAGGGAGTCAATCTGAATCAGGGTTAGTAATTGAAGAAGAAGAAGAGGAAGAAGAAGAAGAGATTGTTTGTGGGGTTTCACCTTCTCCAGCTCTCATGACTCACTCTCCACCTCAAAGTCCTAGAACTGTTCAATCTCCTCTTAAATTTGCTCCTCAGGTTTTTAATTCCCCTTTTCTTTCTCTTTGTTTTTCTTATTAATTGATTTTTTTTTCTTGGGTTTTCTAGTTATTTGTTACTCATAATTTTCTGGGGTTAGATGTGCTGTTTTCAGATGTTTAATTTTTGCCTGTTTTTCATTGGAAATTCTACTTGTACTGAGTATGCTTTTACAGTAACTGATGTTTTATTGCCCTTTTCTTGAATTATAGTACAATTGTTTGTAATGCTGTTGATGAATCATGCTTTTTATTAACCAAATTCCAATAATGTTGCAAAAAAATTAAAACTTGGTGCATTTAACTATTTCATTGAAGCTTATTTGAGATTGCAGTTAATAAATCATGGTTAAGCAACATTGTAGTTTGAGATTTCGTATGTCCTTTTTTAGTTCTTTAGGCTTTCTTGCTTAATTAGTAGGGGTATTTTTTTCCTTTTTCTGTGTAGGGTTATAGAATAGCCTTTTTCTCTGTACTTATGGTTGTTTTGTTTATGTGATTTTGCATAGCCTCCCGTGGCTCCGATACAAAAACCGGATGACCTGCATATCCCGAATCCAACATGGTTACAGTCATCGCCGCCTGATGAAGAAATGAGTTTCGAGCAAGGAATTCCTACTATGTTCACTTGGAGTTGTGGTGGCAAGGAAGTTGCTGTGGAGGGTTCATGGGATAACTGGAAGACAAGGTTCAAACTTCTCCTTGGATCTTATTAATTTGTATGACAATTGTGGTGTGTGATTCGAGCCGTTCTTGTCAAATCTTAACTAATTATCTTTTGTGAACAGAAAACCACTACAGAGATCAGGAAAGGACTTTACTCTCATGAAAGTGCTGCCATCAGGAGTTTACCAATATAGGTTTATTGTTGATGGTGCGTGGACTTATTCATCCGATTTACCGTGGATCCAGGACGAGACTGGAAATTATTACAATGTTTTGGATTTGCAGGTATATTTTTTGTTCTGTACACTTTTTTTTCTTTTCGAGATTATCATCATGAAAATGCAAAGTTAAATGTTCTGAGATGAAATTCAAGTTTATTATGATAAGCTAACTGAGGTGTTATTGCCAATGTCATTTGATCTTCTGTATGAAACTTTACTTGTGGGTCGGCGTTTAGTCAGAGTGATCGCTGGTGTGAAATTGTGGATTGGTGCCTATATATTTCCCCTCTATTTTAGCCTATTTCAACTCACTGTTCTTGTATGATGCTTATTTAGTTATGTATGATAAATTAGCAGAATCCTTTTTAAAAACTAGTTTCTTATCCTGTTAACTTTACCCTTATTATTCATGAATATACACTTAGAGCAGGAACCTGGAGATCTATATGACCCAAAAAAAAAGGGGGGGGGGTGGGGGGTTAGTTTTTATTCCCTTACTAGTTACTACAATTAAATGACAAAAAAAAAAAGTTAGATCTCATAAGAGCAGCTAGCTCATTATTCTTCTGTGGAAAGAGATAGTAACGTCAACTATCTCCATTTTCCACCATTGAGTTATATTGTCATATAAAGTTTTGCCTAGTCTGTGGTTTTGAAAGCCAAAGGCCATCTTTATCAAATGTCCTATGAGATTCTCTCTTTCAATCTATCTATCTGCTTGTTGTTCAAATTGGATATTATTTTCTGTGATGCTTCTGTTAGTGCCACGAGATGTGCTGTATCATCACAGCTAAGACGGTCACTAGTGATGTGACTTCAGTCATGAAGAATATATCTTTTCTTTGGGGATATTATTAAGGAATCTTTATTAGAATGGACAATGGAACAATGAGCCTGCACTCTGCAAGTCCAATTTGGTTGTAAGCCGAATAAACCTTATCTATAGCTTACGAAGCACCTATCGAGTAAAAAAAAAATATTCAAGAAGCTTGGATTGATGAGGATAAATGCACAATTGGACTGAGAGGGATGCCACCAACTAATTTATAGATCTCAATTTAAGATGCTATTCCTGCCTGCAGAACATATTATTGCAAATTTCTTCTGTCGCTTAGATTTCCAGAAATTGTTTTATGCTTGATGACACTAATCTACTCTCTCCATCTCTTGTTCATTCTAAGTTGACTAAAGTTTAGGGGCTGGTTTCTGCTTAATTTTGTGATTCACCAATGGATTCTGATGAACAAATGCAGGATTATGTCCCAGAAGACACAGAGAGCATATCGGGATTCGAGCCACCACAATCTCCAGATAGTAGCTATAATAATACAGAACTTAACCAAGATGATTTTGCCAAGGAACCACCACTTGTTCCTCCTCACCTTAACATGACCTTGCTTAATGTACCTTCTCTATGCACAGAGGCGCCACCTCCTTCTCTTTCAAGACCTCAACATGTGGTTCTTAATCATCTTTACATGCAGAAGGGAAAGAGCGGTCCATCAGTTGTCGCACTTGGCTCTACACATAGGTTCAAGTCCAAGTATGTGACTGTTGTACTCTACAAATCTCTGTAGGGATGTGTTTTTGAGATATTATTTAAATCTATAGAGGGTTGGGTTTAGTAGTAATGGTGAGGATAGATCAGAACAATGTACTGTAACGTTTCTGGATGAAGTAGACTATAGAAGGCGCTCAAGTACCAATTTTATGTTTGCTTCAATTTGACAACCTCTTTGTTCTCTTTAGTCTTTAGCTTGCTTTATCTGGCATTTCAAAACTTTTTTTGGCAATTTTTCCATCTGATAACCACACTAAGCTCTACTAGTGGCGTTATTTTTAGATCTAATGGGGGCGACATTAAGTTGCAGCAATTGCTCTATCTGCCATAAATTGCATTTTGCAAGTTTGGAAGTAGATCGCAATTTTCTGCCTTTACGCACAAACTTTCAAGCTGGGAACTGTTTTTTTTTTTTTTTTTTACCCGTATACCTGTGGTTATTTCTGCTGGATGAAGTAGCTATTCTATTAGTTTAATAGCAACAGTCAACGAACGTATCAGCAATCAGCTGTTTGTTGGTAGGTTGTAGTGTTTACTCTGTAATTCTCGTATATTTTGGTTGGAATTACATTCATATCCATCCACCATTTGCGTTGTCTGATGACTGTGATAAGTGATGAGGTTATAGAAATTGCATGGAGGAGTCTGCCATTTCGGAGTAACAAATTCTTCTCCAGAATTTCTGACCTTAAAAGAAAAACAGATTTGTGGAATTGTGGGAGGAATTAGAAGCTTTACAGTAAATTCCACATTTTTAATAAAAATCATGTAAATATCTCCATTATCATATCCAATACATAGCTTTACTACTAGTTGTGAAATATATTCGTGATCAATACTTGCCCTTTTTGGAATTGTCAGGAATCTAAAGCTTTGTTTTAAGCTTACACATGTCTGTCCTCTCTTCTTCAAGTCTTTTAACTTTAGCACATAGTTAAATCTATCTTTTCTTATTTTTCATTTCTTTTCTGAGTAATTAATTTGAATCAGGTTTTATGATTTTGTAGCGCTCAAATTAGGATTTTAAAAGACTGGTACTATCTTTTCTCATTTGTTCATGAGAGAAGGAAATTAGAACCTAAGCTGAAATGAACTTAACTGAAATTAAGTTGAAGAGAACAAGCCTGAATTGAACAATAGAAAAAGGAAGTGATATTTTACTTTTCAAAATAGGCATACATTTGAAAGAAATTCATCAACTGTCATACATACCGAAGTCTGAAACACTATCTGGTATCTACTGTACAACTTACTACTAATTAAAACTTGAGCTTCAATGCTAGCACGAATACACTCTTGCTTGCATCTTCTGTTTTGGTTCAATTGATCCCACGTTTGCAAGGTCAAGTTAAACCGATTAGCTTCTACATCACACTTAGGCCAAAGCAGTTAGGATATGCCAGCCCTGTTTCTAAACCTCAGAGTCACAGAGGGTCTTAACAACCAGACGCTTATGCACAAGCAAAAAGGATCAGAAACTGTGTACTTTAACGGCCAGTGATCAGCTTAACCAAAATTGATCACAAAACAATTTCAACCACACTAAATAGGTTCAATAGGATAACACTTCTATCAATGTGTTTATTGAGGGGTTCTTTCTCACAAAAACTATTCCTCATCCTACTATAAATGTGGAGTAACATTTTCATAAACAATAATAATACTCCCTACACTAACTTGATGATGGCATATTTGCAAGGCTTTCATGGTGGTTAATGGACAGGACATCCTTGCACTATAATCCCTGGGGCAGTTGGGCACGACGCCAAGGGGCAATGATCTATTTCTGTTCCCCACCATTTCAGATTCTTGTTCTCGTTTTGGAGAGCGAAGAATATTAAAACAGCCATGAAGGCTGTCCCGGCATCCAAGGCTGCTGATAGAACATAGTTGTACCTCTTCCACCATTCTTTTCTGTACTTGAATACAAAGTAGTTGAATATGGTACCAGTGACCAGCCAACTAGCTATGTTTGTAGGCGTTGCTGGTGGCATCCCTGCAAACCCGTATGATATGACTGGTATATTGATGAGTGGAATCCATTTGTTTTCAGGGAAGATCTTGTGGAGTATCCAGACTGGAACAGGCAATACTGCTCCGATAAGGAATAGCCACACCAAGTTCCTGTACAACCCTCCTGGTCCAAAAAGCCTTTGAGGTCCAATTAAGCCCCAGATAACAGAAGCATCAAAGGTGACTCGGAATTTGGGGCATGTCCACGGGCTGTTAGGATTTAGAGACTCCACATCGCATATGTTGTCAATGGAGCCCAACATCCACCATGCTACTGCAAGGTTGACTACACCGGCAACTAGTGTTCCGACAAGCTGTGAGTTGTTAAGAAAAGAATGGAAAAAATAGGTGAGTTTCAAGCAATCAAACCTAATCTTCATTTACTGAATGTTCTAATAGACAGCTGAAGATATGTACAAACCTGAGCTGCGTACATTGACCTTGGTGGGATTTTCATGTAGTGCCCAAGTTTTAGATCAGACAGGAAGGCTAGAGCATGAACGGTGCTGATTCTCCCGTATATCTTGAAAAGCAGATTGGCTATGGGTTTTCCAGGGTAGACATACCCAAATATGAACTGTGCTATTATGTCGTACCCAGGTTGCTGCATTGATCCAGAAAACGAGTTTAAAATCCAGAAAATCCTTAAATAGATTAACCAGATAAAGTAAAATCCGAAGCCTAGACTCTAGAGCATGTAGGTAGTACCTGGTTCGTGGTCGCTTGAATGACACCAATGGGAAGAGTCACAACCCAAGCCAATGCAAATGCAAAAAGCATCCCCCACCAGGGCAGCTGCACATCATCTTTCCATATAAACGACATCAGGATTGAAAATGCCGCACTCAAAACTAACAAGATCAGGAACCACCATTCAGGCACTTGTTTGTATTTGCTCATCAGCTTAGCATGTACATCCTTCTTAGCATTTTGCATTGCAGATCTGCTCTGCTTCCAGATGTCCCTGCACAGCACATCCGAATAACATGAGTAAAGACTTGACTTACAACCGCACTGACTAATCTGGTTATTTGCATGGACTGAAGCAGCATACCTTCCATGGAATAGAGCAACATGTGTAAGAGTGGCAGTGAATCTTGCAAATCCAGACCCGATTGAAAGGGCAAAGAGAGGACTAAGGTATAATTTTCCATAACTATTATAAGCTGCAACGTTGAGGTCACGTTGTGGGGTGAGAATCTTGGTGGTATCATACTTGAGTCCATTAGACCGAAAAAGCTTGTTGGAAAATATTGGAAATTTCCTGGAATCAAACGTATCAAACTTCCAGTAACACAGCGGGATTATTATGTATATGAACATGATAAATCCGATTCCAACATTGACAATGGAAGACCAAGGTGCCACCAGAGGGCTGCCATGGTAGGCAGATATGCCGGCCCAATCCAGGGTGAAGGCACCCACACCTAGCCCGTTGTAACCTGATCCAACCTGTTGAGCGGTAATGCTTCGAGGCCAGGCCCAACACACCCAGGAAAAAAAGGTCAAAATTGGAAACAGATAGCCAGGCAGAGCATAATAGGCAAAGCTTGCTGCAAAGAAGATGAGGAAAAATTGCATCCTGGTAAGCCCCTTTTGTTTGTGCTCCTTCTCATGAAGTGCTCTGCAGCATTGAGTTAATCATAATCAGATATCTTTAGTATTAGAAGAATAAGATTACACAAGTAATTACATTAGTTACTGCTACATCAATAGAACTCGAATATTACTGATTACTTTTTTATTACATGAGTTAGCCTTAGAGAATCTTGCAATACATTTTCCTTGATTCATTTTGTATGTGCACAAAGAACGAATATACTCGATGACTAGCTAACAAAACTGAGGGTGACAAATTCTTACTCCGTAGCTCTTTAGCATGAATTCATATCTGGTATAGAAGTTGTGAAACGACCATCTTTTCTAGCAGAAAATTCTTACTTCCAAAAGTCAATTAGCTTTTTATTGGGAAAATACAAGTTACTCATCCTGAGTAACAACAAATGTAACTCAAGGGGCACGGATGTAATTTCGTGCTTTTAAGTTGGGGGTAAAAACGTCCACAGTATATTTCATAGCAATGGATGAGTTCCTTCCATCCTCAACAACACCCTCCTTCTTCCTCCATTCTCCCACAGCAGTACCCTTCTTCTTCTCCACCGTCCCACCGTTCTTCCTCCTTCCCTCTGCAAGAGTAACACCTTCGCTGGAACAAGATGCTAGCCCTAAGGGGTTGATATGGCCCTAATTAAAACTATTTGTTCCTAGGGTTTCGTTTTGTTCCACCGCGAAGCGGCGTTAAGGCTTGAAGCCATTGTTATCGGGGAAGGAAGGAAGAAGAAAAGGGGGACAACGTGGAAAAAGATCAGAGATTGTGGGTAATGGTGGTGAAGCGCAAACTGGTGGTGGTGGTGGTGAAGCGCACTCAACGTTCTCAAGAAGACGAAGGTTTTTTTTTAAAAACAAAAAAAAAATTAATAATAAAAAAAATTTGTGTAAAATTACAATATATGCCACTTGAGTAACAAATTTCGTTAACTGGGGCTTGCTCCTTTTTATTGGTTAACGAAAGGTAATGTTAAGAACATATTTGTTAAACAAAAATACAGGGCGTGAGCATGTTTCATTTTGATGCTCATAAATTATCGAAAGTTAATTAGGGAGTTGATAAATTAGTCCCAGGAAAGCATGTTATTCCAAATAAAAGATGGTTGTAAGATGGGAATATTGAAGCACTAGTAGTTCCAATCCGTAACATCTGTGAATGAGAAGGATGGGCAAGTAGTAGTCTATCCAGTGGAATCGATGCTCTTTGTTTAGACAAATACATACGTATCGATCAATCTGATTACAAATAGGCAGACGACGTAGGCCTCAACTTTCCAAACAGAATCTGTGACCATTGCAAATTGGCAACAACATCTGCCAAATTGCAATGTATGTAGAATGAAATTAAAGAGAAAGAAAGGTTGAAGAACGAACCTAAAAAAGGAGACTTGAGCAAGGTTTGCTGGCCACCACATTTCAACAGGGTCAACCAGATACCTTCTAAGCATCCCAGCCCATCCATATCCAATTATCTGATCAAGCATATTTTACACTTTTAATGGACCTCATTATACAAACTGCTCAAAATATACAACCTAATAAAAACTCACAAAAGAAAAAGTAACAAGTCTCACTATATCATACTTGTGGAGTAGCAAAAACTTTATCACACAGTAATGGTGATATAAATCTAGATTACTTTTTCCATTTCAAATTACGACTCCATATGTAGTAGTTGGTTGTCATATAAATTAGGCCGTATACTATAATCTCTTAACAATATCTTGTTACCCGTGGTAAAATTATATCAATAAAAAATTTTAGTTGGAATTCTTGATTCCCTTTGCATGCCTTCTCTTTTCTCCCCTTTATTTGTATATTGTAATTAAATCAAACAAAAATTGCATGTGATGAGAGCTCAAAAAATAAGGAAAATGAAGATGAAGAAGAAGAAAAGTCCAAAATAAGAAAAATGAAAGGTGAGATGGGAAACTTCCAAGATATGTAAACCTATGGATTGAATAAGGATGGGACATGCAACCCAACTCCAACACTCCTCTCACATGCAAAACCTTCTTCTTTATTTTTCAATTTTTATCAGACAATTTCCAATTCCAATTTTCAACATTATACTACCCCACCCCCACCCCCACCCTTTTCTAATTTGTCAACACATTCCTGCTATTAGTCAAATTATTGATTACTCGTAACGCATTCACTCTTCACTCTACTACCACAGAATTTTAGTAAAATTCAATTCTCTCTTATATATTCTGTACCAGAAAAATTGATAATTAATAATGTAAATTAAGCGAACAATAAATAATCTTCATGAATAAAACAAGTGTTCCGTGTTCATGTGCCTACAATAATATCATTGTGGCATAAGAAATACATATCTTTTTTTTTTTTTGTTAAGAGAACCACACTGTCTCGAGTGATGAAAATCGATTTCAGTATCGTATGGAACCGGAAAGAGAACTCTAATCACTTGAGTTATTCCTCTATGACAATTCAGGTCATTTATGCGTGGTATTAATATGTTAAAGATAGAAAGAAATGACAAGTAAAAAAGGTTAGGAAACATTTGTTACAAACAATTTAAAGTACTGGTATTAATATGTGCATGGTAAATAGGAGTACAAATATATTATAGCAAATAAGAATATGAGTATGCATTTCAAAATTAATAGATGGAATTAAAGAATAATTAAAGAGTAAAATAAATGATAAGCAACGCAAACAGACCTGAGTAGTGAGCACAATAAAGAGGGCACAAAGGAATCCCAAGGACTGTTTATAGTAAGCTTTCATGACAGTAATGGCACCAATCGAGTACGCATCACCCCCACCGTAAGAGACACCACAATTTGCCAAAATCGTGATAATCACGTGCTCTTTTATATTAAACGGACCCGGGTTCAAGCTAAACCCCCAACGGCCCCCAAATAAGCTGTAGTTTCGGGTGGGTAAAACCCGGGCCATGAACTTACCCATGGGCAAAACCGCTATTTGCATTAAGATGGCTGATATTGTGAGTGGTTGTGTTCTGTAGATAAAAAATGTGTTCAGAAATATGAGTAAAACGCATGATATCATACCCAAGAACCATGCCCGAAATGTCAACACCGGAAGTGTCGGGTCATCGGTTTCGGGTACGACTAACGCAACCTCTTCCACCGGACACCTCTCGTGTTCCTCCTCCTTCTCTTCTTCTTCCATTCTCTCTCCACCCACTTTGCTCGCCATTTCTCTCTCTATTATGTACTCTTCACAACCAATTCTTACTTTGCTTTTCTCTAAATAATAAATATGACTATGTCATTTCATATCAATGTATAAATACAAGTCCTAGTGTGAAATGACTGAATTGCCCTTGTAACGGAATAGGAATGGGTGGGTGGGTGGCGCTATCAAACTGTTGAAAAGTGGAAGAAACATTTAGGGAGTAAAAAGAGAACATGAGAATATCACGAGCTGTGTGTTGTACTACTTGTTCTGACACACTTACGTGCCCTCTCCAAATTTGCCACGCTGGATGTCTACGTGGATTTCGTACTTGTGGGCCCCGTCTTTTTGTCCACGTAGGATGCTGGACGACTCTGCTTGTGTTAACCTTGTGCTTTGTTTCTGTTTCCTCGTTCCTCTTTCTTTTCATTTTACTCCATTATTAGAATGTCATTTCCTTAACTGTTGCTATCTCATGGATACGCTCTTTACAACCAATGCTTTTACAAAGTTCCTAATTATATTTAATATACCAGTGATAATACTTTTTCAAAAACTTTCACCCCTAATCCTACCAATGCTTTCGGCCTAGAAAAAACACGAGTTTAGACAAATCTAAAAACGCTTTTCTAGTTCTAATTAAAGTCTGGGCTCTGCCAAAAAAGCCCAACATGTTTGGACACAATTTTTATACGAAAGTCAAGCCCAACTCGATTTTTTATCACCTCTAGCTTAGTTCAATTTCAAAATGGATTTTTTAAAATGATTATTTCTCTAACTTAATTTGAAATGATTAGAGATAGATTATGAATGCATTTATTGTGTTCATCTTCTTGAACTTAACTCCACATCACAAGTTTCCACAATATCATTCTAATCCACTATTATTCCAAACTACTTACAGCTAGAGAGTGTGTTAAGTATATCCTAGCATATGTTCCATCACTTTGGTAACCCCACTTGTGTTACAAAACCACATTACTAAGTTAGTAAAGCATATTATAGCATGTCATTTGTTACTCCTTATACAACTTCAAACTTCAATACAAGAAATGTTGTTAATCAATAGTCAATACACCTCCAGGCATGAACTTCATATTTATATTTCACTTGACTCAACATATACGGATATACCTTCCTTTTATCATCGATTTGCTTATGTCGGATTTTCCCATTCTTTTAATTGTTTTTATCTCATATTTGACCAAGGAAAAGATGCTGTAGTTTATGCTCTGTATCTATATAGCTCAAATGTTCAACTTTTTAAAAGGGAGTTTTAAAACACAATCACTCCTACTTTTGTCTATACAATTCATGATATAATTTATGTTCTGGGTATATATAGTTCAAATCTAGTAAAATCACTACTACTTTGACATACACATAAAGTAAGAAACATTATAATGATAAAATGAGCTCAAACCATGAAACCAATTATGAATAATGATGGATTGGAGACAATAATGAGATTGATTATAAACCAACCAAGTTTCATGATGGAAATAGTGGGTATTTATGTAGGCCTATAGGGGTTCTGTTTGAACATTATGCACATATCATAGACCATGCTCCAATTCTACGCCTAGATTTTCTTTTTACAAAAATTTAAAAAAATTATTAATTTGTCCACATGATATCTTCAATGGGCCACGGCCCACAGGCACGAATGTCATATTTGGTTCTAGAAATAAAGGAGCCGTACGATGTGGTTTGAATATTCCTCACTTCCAATGGCAAAGCTTAGTTGATCGATTACAAAAGAGCATATATAAATATTAATGTGTGAAATGATTGCTATTTACATGTAACATAGTACCCAATGTGCTCGTCATCAAACTCATCACTACGTATATTTTGGATCCTATTTATCCTAAATAATCCTTGTTCTCGGTGTGATTCGTTAACTTTTATTTAACTGGGTTGGTAATAGTTTATCGTCTTACTTGCATAGATTAATATCTTACCTTTGCCTGAATTGGCTGTTTTTTTATATCCATGAGGTAACCTATATTTGGTGTGTACACTAACTCATGCAATTGAGTTTGTACTGTTGTAGCCTCATCTTTGCTAATACCTACCTTATCCTATAATAATCAAAAATTTCAAATCGAACAGTTCATTACCAAACAATATTCTCATTTGTTAATCATATAGGAAAGGAAAAGGGAGAAATATGAATTCTCATCACAATTGCCCATCATCTTTTTTCAACAACAAAGATATTTAACTTGATTGTCAGCATAGTTCTAAGGGTTACTATGGTGGAATTTCTAAACATTTAATTAACTACGTTTATTTTAGAATTGGGCAGACTAGCCCGAAAAACCTTAATTAACTACGTTTATTTTAGAATTGGGCAGACTAGACCGAAAAACCTTAATTAACTACGTTTATAACAAAGGAATTTGGATTCATCATCTTGTCTCAATCTCTCATGTCCTTCACTATGAAAAAAGCCTTATCAAACTATTGCGCATAATTCGTATTAATATACTACGGAGTACTTTTCGAGTTTGCCTCACCCGGTTCAACACATGCGGATCCGATTCGAGTTGCATACCTGTGTTATGGTGGCCTAGGTGAGTCTCCAAGAAGAGTTCTTCTACATTTGGTGGGGCTTGAACTCGAGACCTTTCTTAAGCGGCATTAAGCTGCTTATCACTTGAGCCAACTCTTATTGATAAAGAAAATATAGAGTACAAGTACATAATAACGACCTGTCGATGTTGGTTGTTTGAGTGTTATTTGTCGTTAGAGAAATGAGTCTTATGTACGACAAAGTTACAGGATGAAGGGAGGACCACAATGCCATAATATTCATCGATTATATTCTCAAGATGAATTTGAGTGGACGATCGTATGCATAATCTATAATCTCATGTTCCATCTCTTTAGTTGACAATTTCAAAAGCCACTTGTATTATTTGGCACCAATATATCAAGTATTTTTTATTTTATTTTTTAACCATTTACGGACCACCAAAGCCTTTTTATATTATGATACTTCCTCTAATTCATATCAGATTAATTGACATTTTTTGACTTTTAACATAATTATTCATAAATTATTTTGGCTAATTTGTGTGACTTAAAGATAAAATGAAATAGTCATGACCTACCCCTTCCAATTTAAACTTCATTATATTAAGAGAGAATTGATATAGAATTGTGTATTGACAAAGGTAATAATAAAACATATCGGCTAATTTGAAATAGCGATAGTAATAAGGAAGAAATTGTATGACCTATGGTCTAAGGTGTAAGTGCGAGAGTAGATTTCAAAAAAAATCAAAAAAAAAAAAAAAAAAAAAAAAAAAAAAAAAAAAAAAAAAAAAAAAAGGGGGTACGAGAGTAGATTTTAATCTTTTATGGTGTTTTGTTGTATGGCTCCCTTGCCAATTGCGATGTGGAAAACTGGAAAAGTGTGGGTAGGCCCAAATAATTTTTCATGTATAGGCCCATTCTATTCGAGGAAAAGCAATAATCCGCATGATAACTTTTTCCTAAAGATGGATCCATTCTTCATTTCTTCTTTAACGAAAAAACATAAAACAGCTCTTGCTCATTTTGCTGCTTGTAATTGGAAAGGCTGATATCATTTGGGCCATGTCGGATTATATTTCATGTTAATCCAGCAATATTCAAAACACAACTCAAGCCTACATACCCATCGTATGATCAAACAATTTATTAGTCTTTATTAATTCTAATACCCATTGTTTGATTTGTATAAATACATTTCTTTCAAAATAATAATCCATCAATTAATTAAAAGTGATGGATGTATTATTGTATCTATAATAGAGGATGATTTGATACTTTGATGGTGTGGGTGAGGAGAAATGGAGTCCACTTAACGTAACAGACTAAAAAGGTCCATGTAGCTAAGAAATATCTCCCATGCTTAAACAATACGCCACAATTGTTGCTTTTCAGTTTTCAATTCACCATTCACATCAATGTTGAAACAAATTGCAATTATTTCAAGTCTTTTGGATTATATTAACGAAGACTTGACTTTAGATCAAGTTGATCAAATATAATATAAACATAATTATTACACAAAATCATTATTCATATATATATTTAATACATTACATAATAAAATTCAAAGCAATAATTATTTTACAAAATTTATTACAAGCTATTATATATAGGGTAGAGGTTTACATTACATAATAGAGCAAGCATTAGGGTTTTCATCACTAAACACTTGAGGAGGCTGATAATTATGATTATAATGATGATGATCGTTATTATAATAATCTGTCATGTAGTCATACCTTGCTGATGATGGCCGATAATAATCATTCGAACTGTTGATCATATTATTCATCATCATCATCTTAACATCTTGATCAATTATAGTGTTATCAATGACCTCCTTATTATCATCATCTTTCTTGTTGTTCTCTTGTTCATTGCTACTAGCCTTGGGCTTCGTTGTCGCGTCTTGCTGATTATCTTGTTCGTTACCAGCCTTGATAATGGACACTTGCTTCCTTGTCTTCTTATGCACATACTTAGCCAATGCCTCTGGATCTCCTATCACACCCTTCACAATCACTTGACTCTTGCCTACATCTGTTTCTACGGACTCTACCCCTGTTCATGTATAGATAATCATCAGATCATCTCAAACAATCATGCATATATTACGTACAATTATAAAATTAATATGGGGTATTACACGTCTACACTATGTACGTACCAAAAAAAAAAAAAAAAAAGTGTGCAAAACATGCATGTACTAATGTATTACTGTATGAATTATTGTATGCCACATAGTCACATACTTAGTACAATGTCACAAACATACCTTTAATCTTTCGAATGCGCTTCCGTAGGAGCTGCGCACAGGCTTCACAATGCATATGAACTCCAAGTACCATTGTTACTACGGGAGGTGGCTGCCAAATTAAACATGCATATAATTAACATTATTAGTTAACCATATGACAAATATATATGTTAACCATCATTGATACATATTATACTCAATAAAACTGTTACAATCACTTTAATTTAATTCATATCTGTCAAAAATATAATGTCTAGTATATATATATAGAGAGAGTTTTGCAAAATTCTAGACAAATTAAAGGTGGTTTTGAATGTAAGCATCAATACAAGCTAATCATCTTCAAATATATATGATGAAATTGAACAAAATTGACTAGCATTAATGCTTTATTTTTTTCATCTTTATTGTGGGCATACACCATATAACTTGATTGCCCTTTATAAAATGAAAAATCAGTGACATTTAGTTAATTATGATGGATTATACTTCTAGCTAACGGATGGGTAGATGCATGACTCACACATTTTATATGTTGGGCTGGAATTATTATATTGGTGAGAGCGAGGTTTCAAATATTGACCCAACTTGATTTCACGTTGTACGAACATGTAATATTATGATTTAGCATGAGTCAAATTCAAATAAGGTAAAAAAAGGGCGAAATAAATGTGTCCAAAAACGTAAAAGAAAGATGCTTAAACGTATGAAAATGGAATGCAGCAGTTGGTACGTACGGTGCAATATAATAGGGTGGTTGTGGTGTCGGCAAATACAAGTAAATGTGATCCGGAATCGGAATTCATTGTAAAATGTGCGATATCTTTTTCACTCACCGGCATTTGAATGTTGTCCTTGTGTTAATCCTGTCAGTTTTAACATATACGACAACTCCACCAGTCCACATGCTGGATTTTACCATTTAATTTTAACAGTGGAGTATGTACTGTACGGGGTACTACTTTATACTTTCTGTTTTCCTTGTAACTATGTCTGTCCTACCATCCCTATTCCACCAACTATCTCCATCTTTTAATTATCTCTCATTTTATGTTAAACAAGATGACAATCAACACTGTATATAACTAATTATACATGGATATAGAGATCCATACATTTCGTTCCTCTTTCAGTCACACTTACGTTATGGTGCTTCATTTATTGTGTAAGTGGATGTCTAGCTAGCAGTATAAATCAAAGAGTCATGACTAAATCGAAAGCTAGTCCCCTAACAAATTCTAGCCTTTTTATACATCATCATATTACGGTTTTAGAAAGACTTTTAGTGAATCCTGATAAAAGTAAAACACGTACGTGACACATATAAATTTTGTAAATTCTGCATTTTTCAGATGGTAGATAAAAAGGTTGCAAGTTAATTCACACTCAAGTGACTCAACCACTAATTTATTTTTTATTTTATTTTTTTTGCTTTAAGTAACACATACATAGAATATTTGTATATCCTCTTTAATTAGTGGACATGCATCTATCTCAAATCATAGAACAAATTAAAGACATAAAAAGATTAATAAAGCAAGGAAAATAAAGACGCATAATGTAAAAGGGTAGAAAGTATGTTATGTTGCATACTTGATCCTTAAGCGCAGGTTCAGTCTTTTTATCCTTGTTCTCTTCTTGTTTAGGTTTGTTCTCTTCCTGAGGAGGCTTAGGCAAGGGAGAAAGTAATTGAGCGTTACGTCCAGTTTTGTGGCGAATTCGGTCACATAACTTCAAAGCTTCATCTGTCTTCCCTTTTACCATTACTGTGTTCGTCTTTCGGTCCACTGCTACGTCTTCCACCCCTTTTAATTCATTCACAACCAGTTCAAATTTTTACGTATTACTTAATTACTTTTAATTATTAATTGGTACTAAATATCATTTTGTAAAATAAGATGAATATAAATCAATATAAGATGCAATGCGCATACTTTAAAACAATTTTATGTACAAAATTTAAAACTAATCAACCCTGGCCTACATGTACATCTCAAAGATAAAATAGTAGCTAGTAGTAGATAACATACCTTGATAACCTTTAAGAGCTTTAGAAATTTTCTTGGCACAAGCCTCGCATTGACAATGCATGTCAACTTTGATTACAATAATCTCATTATTATTATTCTTGGCTTCGTCGGTATTCGCCTTTTCCTTCTTCTCTTCAACCTGACCTTCTCCTCCGGCAACAATCTCTTTCTTTTCCTGTGAATGAACAGACACACAATTAGTCTTTAAAGAAGAAATTAAACAAAGCATAATACAATCGTGTAATTTTTTTTAAAATAAAAACAAAAAAAAACATAAGTACGTACCTCTCCCATGAGATCGGAAATTAAGAATATGATACAACGAGAAGAAAGTAAAGTAGTAATATTGGTTGTAGAAATTAAACGTGTTATATTGCTAGTTGTATTCTTATATAGCAATAGTAAAGTAGTATCGCATTAGTACGTGTTTTAATTTTGTGATCTGTAATTTCATTTTTGTGGTGAGAAGAAATGTAGTCGAAAGTATTTATTGAATGTTGTGCTCAAACCAATATCAGCCATTGCGTCACCAAGTCTCAGGTCTTTTCGAGACCACCACATAGATTTAGATAGAGGTAACTATTTACCTTTTTCTTTTTATTTTTTTTTTTCTTTTCTGTTTTCAAGGTAAAGGGGTCCATTTGGAGGAGAAGGGATAAGTTTAGACACGATGAGAATCAAACCTAGAGTTAGGTTTTACACTATATAAGGGTTTTATGTATGGAATTGTCTTGATTATATAAATTTATATTGCAAAACATATCAAAATGAATTGAATTCTATAATGTAATAGTGTGTATTTAATAACTTTGAAATTAACTATAACATACATACGTACAACTCAAAAACACAATTATTGAACAAGTGTTCTAAAATCTTGTACCATCATTGAAAGACTTGTTTGCAAAATAAAAATATAGCTGACACCAACGTTGTCAATTAGGATTGTTAGTATCATCTTATCTCGAGCTATCTTCGTTGTTCGAATAACAAATTACCTTAGCATAAGATAAGAGAAGCACGAATATCAGAAATTTAATGGAGCCCATGGGCTGATATCATGATAGCTCAATTTATGGTGTGCCCTTTAAATATTTTCATAATTTTTGTGAGGATCTTTGGAAGAATATAAAACTATCATACTACTAGCTAGTTTGGGGACCAAAAACTAGCACTTAACCTTATCAAAAGGATGAAAACTTTGGTAAATACAACGATAAAGTTGTGCTAGGAAAAGGAAGGCCACCTCTTGATTTTTCTCGCTGTCCTCAAGTATACCTAATTGATACTCAGCCACATACCATTAATCTCACATTTCTCCGTCACTATTTATTTAGATTTAAATGTGAGTGATGCATGTTTTATATTTCATAAAAAATACATATAAGCGTATTTTAAGGTAATTTAAATGAACATTAAATATAGTATCTATAAAATTAGCTTACGCGAGTATAACAGACATAATAATTCAATTTTGGATAAAATTTGTGGCCAATCATTTTTATCAATATATGTACGTAAGTTTTAGTAACGCCTACCAGAATCGGTTTTACAACCTTCTACGTAACAGTATCAAATTATTTGAATATGAATATGGATGGGCCTGATATCAGTTATGATATCGGGTCAGCCGGGTTGGTAGTTAAAGCTTGATTTAGTAGCCAGTTTGAGCATACTCCAACAAACCAAGTTGGACTGTACCAAGAAATTCAATTATAGTCCAAGCCCAATCAATCAGCTCCTGCTGGACTGATACAATAATTGAACTTTACGTCTATACATAGTTTGATAGTTATGTTACAAAAAGTGTCATCAATACTACGGGCCTGTTCCGATTGACTGAACTCAGCTGAACTGAACTGAACTTATTAATTAGTGATTTTTAACTACGGATTAGTGATCTTTGATTATTTATTACTATACATATGTGTATATACAAATGTACATAATATTATTATTATTATTATTATTATTATTATTATTATTATTATTATTATAATTATTATTATTATTATTATTATTATTATTATTATTATTATTATTTATTGATTATTATTATTGTTGTTGTTGTTGTTGTTGTTGTTGTTATTATTATTATTATTATTTATTGATGATTATTATTATTTATTACTTATTGATTATTATTATTATTATTATTATTAATATTATTATTATTATTATTATTATTATTGTTGTTGTTGTTGTTGTTGTTGTTGTTGTTGTTGTTGTTGTTGTTGTTGTTGTTGTTGTTGTTGTTGTTGTTGTTGTTGTTGTCGTTGTAATAAGAGTTTAAAAGAATGAAATTTGGCTTTATATCATTAGCAATATCATTAGACGTAAATTAAGAGCTGAACTGAACTGAATTTCAAAGGAAGAGAACAGGCCCTACTACTATATTATTAAAGTAATCACAGATTTATCGCTAAAATTACCTGTCATATTCACAAGAAAAATTTTACCGTCAATTTTTTTTCCCCTTAAAAATAACATGATATAAAAAGTTAATGAATAAAAAACTACAATAACTTAAAAATATATTTTGAATTATATATCTAATACAATACGGAGTATGAGAGTTTTAAGGGTAAAAATCAATTAAACTCAAAAAAAATTTTAAAAAATGTTATATAAGTCATTTTATTTAAAATAACTTTATTTTAATTGATTATATTTTTTACAAGTCTATCTTATTATTATAAATCTGTGCTTTGCACGGGATGGACTTTTTTTAAAAAAAAAGAAAAAAAAATACTTATCTTTATTTTAAACATTTACTTACTCTGTAATTCCGAGGTATTTCTTCTTCTATATGAATTGATTAGCATATAATCATACACTTTATCTGTTGAGAGTGAGGGATAACTTAAGTTATTAGAGCTTCTCTCCCGGTTTCAAGAGGTCATGGAATCGAATCTCACCCCTGACCTTTTGGCTCTCTAAACACCCAAAAATATATATACTTTATCCGTTTATTTAATATTAAAGCAATTAGTATCATATATCATTATAACAAATATTGCGTTTTTTTAATTATTTTTGCACATATTTTCCATTTATCTCTCTCCTCGAATTTTTAATTTGTGTCTCTCCCCACATTGCAATATCAAGGCAATTATGGCCTCACAGGGTTCTTGATCTTTGTCCTTGGGTTGATATTTCGATTTGCAAGTAGTTCTGTCAAATTTCAAATCGAAACCGTTTAACTGCCCGAAACCAACCAACCCAAATGAGAATCAAACCGATTAAAATCGATTTTGTAAAACCGAAAACCGACTGGAACCGTATTTAAATAAAACCGAAACCGAACCGATCCGAATAATGTCAAACCATATAAGAACCGAACCCGTTAACAAATCAAACTAGTTTTAAACCGAACTGAAATCAAACCGAACCGAAAAAGAACCGAACCGTTTCTAACCCAAAACCGTTTCCAACCAACCGTTTGAACCGAGGTAAAAACCATTTACACCGAACCGTTAACAAACTGCAACTCATTTGCACCGAACCGTTTATAAACCGAACTGTCTATAAATCAAACTGTAATTTCGATCTCACAATAACTCATCAAATCATGATTATGACACATCAATTAGATGATTTAATAAGAAGCAACTAATAATGTGATAGTAAAACAATAATAATTCATTAATACACTAAACATTTATAATCTACGTTACTTCGTAATAAACTAGTAACATCAGTATGACTAAACTTGAAAAGAACATGATATGTATTTTTAAAATCGATGAGAATTTGTATATAATATAATGCCTAATGCCTAAATATGAAGTGATGAAGTCTCGCCTTGATATAAAACTTGTTAACCAGCAAAAGGTTAGTTAGCAAGTACTATGAAATTTCAAACCAAATTTGTTTAATTGCCTGAATCCAAACGACCCGATTAAAAACCGACTTTTTGAAATAAAAAAACCGTTCTGAACCATAATTTAGTAAATGTGAAATGGAACTGATCCGAATAACGTTAAATCGCATAAAAGGCAAACCCGTTAACAAACCGAACCAAAATAAAACTGAACCGAAAAAAAACTGAACCGTTTCTAACTCGAAACCGTTTCCTACCCGAAACTGATTGAACCGGTATAAAAACCATTTACACCGAACCGTTAACAAACCACAACCCGGCTGGCCGACTGTACCGAACCGTTTACTTCCCGAACCGTTTACATCCCAAACCGAATTAAAACCGCTCAAGAATAAACCAAAACCGAATCGAACCGATAACTATTTAAACCGAACTGAAACCGACCAGCGATATATTTAAACTGATTTCAAACCGACCCGATTTAATACCGAACCGATTTCAAACCGAACTGAACGCGAACTGTCAAACCGTTTTGACAGTGCTATTTGCAAGGTATAGTTATGAGGCCACATGCCTCATAATATTTCGTCTCTCTTTGCATGTGGTTTTCGCTATTTAATCTTGTTCTTAATGTATTATATATAATACATAATTAATAAATGTTTGACACAAATTAAAATTGGTTTAAGTTCCTTGAAAATCGATTAATCTCAAAGTGATAATATAAATAAATCTTTTGTGCGCATTAATAGAACTCGCCTAGATTTAAGTTGTGTGTTATGAAGGGAAAAAACTAGAAATATTGTTGACGTTTGCAATTACAACAAAGATTTCGTAATGAAGCCGAGTAGAGACCGCTAGATGCGTGTGAGCGTTGTGCACTGCATCGCTCTCACCCTCGTCTCCCGAGTCCTCTGGCTTTTCGGGGCTACGCATAATACCGTGTTCCATGGCTCCTGAAAAAAGCACGGTGGCGACTTCCTCTACTCGAGTTTTCGACTATAATTCACACTCCTACGTCAGGCATACTCACAATATGCAAATAGCAAGAATTCAATTCTTCACACCCAAAAGTAAGCCTCCAGAGAGGTATCCTCTTTGGTGCAATCCCTCAAGAAAAACACGGGCCTACACACGGAAATTGTTTTCCATTGTAAATTGTTTTCTTTGAAAATCATTTTTCATTGATAATGTATAACGCCCAACCAAACGAAACCCTAATTCACGGTTAGATTAAAACTCTATGTTAAAAATATAAATATTTTGTATGATTGATATTTTTCGCCGTGATTGTGATGTGAAGAATTCCAATTAGTTGGACCACTTGGGATTTTAAGAGAATTAGGGGAGCCTATGCGCGCGGTATAGCTAGCCACCGTGGAAAGTTATGCATTTGAACCTTGGAAAACGGTCCATGCATTCCTTAATTGACTGTTGGTAGCTCACACCTCCATCCCCATATCATCTCTTACAACCACACTAAGGCCAACACTAATATCCTTATAATTTTATAAGTGTAGCATCAACATCAATCTTTAACATACGTAACTTTGTAGAATGCCATTCAATACTATGTTTCAGTGTTTCACCACACCTAAAGCACTCTGCTTCCCTCTATAAAAAATTAACCGAGTGAAGGCTATCCTCTTTCTAAAATTAGTCTCATTCATTTTTCCATTAAGACATACGAAGTACAATTTTTTTTACATGTAAGAAACACAAATTTGGTTATATCTTTCTTATTCTAAAAGAAAGATCTGCAGGTATTAAAGAACTTGGAGTTCTTGTTTATTGCCAATTATCATATCTCCCGATCGAACAATTATTAATTTACAGTGTATGTATCTTGCACCTTCTTAAAAGCATAAACAATCGTGGTGGCTAGGGGAATTAAGGTGACTATGATATCAAATAAGGTTTGACAACATACTATACCACCAATAAAAGAGT